GCTATAAATGTTTCGACAATATGTATATCGTATATGTGACCCATCACATCGAAACGAGGATTAAGTTCAAAAGTTGTATATGGAGAAATAGGCAAATATAGTGTTTTGACTAAAATGTTAACAAAAATTGCATTTTGTCAAAATATAATGAATAAAAGCCTTATCAATGTATCATTTGAATGAACTGTCTGAAATTTAATCATAAACCAAAATTTTGAAGCACTTTTTTGAGCAGTAGCAACAATAAAACTGATTTTGAGGAAAAACGCCTTAAAATTTTGAGATTTTCCCTGTGAGCTAGCAAAGCTGTGTTTCTTTTTAGCTGGGAAATCTCATTATTCTCCCCTGCCTCCACACGGTGACTTCTGGATATGTTTTTAATTTACCGTTGTTTTACCAGGCAAATCCCATTGAAATCACAGATCTCTTTTTCAAGGGCGACATGGGCCTGAAGGCAACCTATTGTACAAGTTTTTTGGGGGTGGGGGAAACTGGAGTACCCGGAGAAAACCCATGCAAGCATAAAAAAAAAGAAAAGGGAATTTAAAATATGAATGTGTGTATTCACTTTTTGCAGTCTACCTACTGTGGTAGTTTTGAGCTGAAACAGTTTTATACAACAAATCACAGTCTACAGTCTCTGACGGGTACTTCTGTTCATATTCCTGGTAAGTAAACATCAATAAAAGGTTAAATCAACTCTTTTCACACAAAGAGCACCTTTTGTCTCAATTTAAACATCTATTTAAGTTTGGCTCCAGCAGCAGCACAGCTGTTTCCCGGGCACAGACCTCATCACTCAGCACTGTGTGGAGGCCTCATGCTGAGGGAAAGCTGCTTTCACATCCTTCCATCAGTCCAGTTACTGGCCTCTGTCCAGCCAACGGATTGTGTGGTGCATCTTTACCACGCTAAATGAAATTCTCTGTTTGCACAAGTAAACAAATTAAAGGAATAACTCAGGACATCTGCACACCACAGAGAAGGCTCTGTCTGTGTGCAGGGAAAAAAAGTAACCAGCAATCAAAAAATAAATTCAATGGGAGTGAGAAGCTGTACTCACAATTATTGCAGTAAACAAACAAAAAAGTGGAGATAGTGACTAAATAAAAACAGTTTTAAACAGAAAAATATTATATTTTTCCAGGATCCATTTCAGTTCTTCAACAACAGGAAAAAACAATTTTTCCGTTTCAGCTTTTGTAGAATTTCACCTCTACATGATACAGTATAAACATGCTGGATTACGAAATGTTGGCGACCTGTTGAACAAGCAAATGCTACTTTTAAAGGCAGTACTTTCTAGGAAATAACAGATTGTTATTACACTTAATGATGCTATTTATCTTTCAAGCTGTTTACTGAAGTTGTTTTTGGAAAATAAGGGGCATTTAAAATTAGACTTTTGTTTTTTCTTTTCATTCATGGCATAGATTTACTTATTATTTTATTTATTTTTTGTAGCGCTTTGAGGTTTTTTGTTGATGAAAAGTGCGTTTCAAATGAAATTCATTGGGCCTCATGCAAGAACATGTTCATATTCTTATCCTAAATTTCTCTTACTTTTGTTCGTACGAAGGG